GTTACTAGCGGCGGCTGTGTTGCCGAGCCCAGACCCATACATTTCGCTTGTCATCATTATACATGCTTTAACATTTCAGTATAAAGTGTTTTTAAACAAGTTATCTGGTTGATTTGTTGGATACCAACACGAAGCTATGATATACTGGGGCAGCAGTCCGTCTTTCACCTCCGTTTTTCTTTGCTTTTGCTCATTTCTTTCTTACTAAGGCAGTTTTCCCAGGCCGTATTTGGAGGTAGGAGTTAGAAAGAGGGGCGGGATTTGGAAGGAGGGAGGGTTGTTCATGCTTAACATGAAACTTGGTGCTGAATGGAAGTTTACAACCTTGAATGCGACATCTAGACAAAATAAACAGCGGCGCGCACCAGGGTAGCCGATGCGATCATGCGTTATGCACAGTTTCTTTTAGTAGACGTTTGCCTGTTAAGGATTTTCACTGTTTTATACTTTGATCTATGCAAAAATAGTCGATATGCTGTTTAGTCCCTAAGCTGCGAAATTTCCCATTAAAAATTTCACGTACCGACACGTGAGACGTAGAGTACGTGATAGCTGAATTTGAAACCTTTGACAGTGAACATCGTTCCAAAATTTCAGTCTCCCAGCTCCTCGGCTTCCGAGTAACTCTCGTGCCAAAACTTTCATGTAGTCGCATGTGAGACCTTGACATACTTGGAAGCTAAAATTGAGTTCGTTAGGCCCTTTCATAGGCAGAAAATATTCCTCCTGAAGTTTTCAGTCTCTTTGCTCTTCTGGCTCCCGAGATGATAATTTTCCTCGCTAAAGTTTTCGCGGGCCATGCGTGGTGTCCAGGCCAGCGGGGAAGCTGAATTTAAATCTGCGGTTCGTATTTGAGCGGGGGCATTACTCCAAAATTTCACCTTTCTAGCTTTCGTGGTTCCCGGTATAGTAATTTCCCCACCGAAAATTCTGCAGGACCGCACGTGATACCCAGGCGAACGGGAAGGCTGCAATTAATCTTATTGTGTCGCATGCGGGCAACGGACATTACAGAAACCCAGGCTGGAACGCACCAGGCTCTCCAGTGCGATCATGCGTTTTTCCACTAAACTCACAGATCGCTATTAGCAGGAATGATCCCTACACTGTAGCCTTACACTTGGGCTAATATTGGCCGTGCTTTGATCCTTTCTGGCATGCAGGGGGAAGGGCATCAGTTGGGATGAAAGTGGTGCATTATAGAGCCGTACGGACATGCAGGTGTATGATTACCGGTTTTTTGCATGAAGTCCGGTCGTTTTTCGGTAAACCTTTGTGAAAAAATGACAAATGCGAATTTTTTGAAAAAATGCAAATTTCCAGTTCACTAAGGAGTGAAGGTATTGCTCGAGCGGTCGTTTGTCGAAAAATGCACATTCATTTACATGTACGATTGCGGTTAAGGTCCGAGCTTGGGTGAAACTGGGGGCAAATAATTTCGACAGGATTTACTGAGACTTATGCTTAGGTGAAGCTGAGGGCAAATAAGTTCGACAAGATCTACTGAAGCTTATGCTTGGGTGATGCTGAGGGCAAATAATTTCGAAAGGATTTACTGAAACTTATGCTTAGGTGAAGCTGAGGGCAAATCATTTCAACGGGATTAACTGGAACTTATGCTTGGGTGAAGCTGAGGGCAAATCATTTCAACGGGATTTACTGGAACTTATGCTTGGGTGAAGCTGAGGACAAATAAGTTCGGTTGGATTACACAAGAATTGCAGACAATTCCAAAGTGTTGCCTCTTGCAGCCTGCAACTGTGCACAA